GAGAGCAGATGTTCTCCTGGAGCTTCTTGGAGGGCTCCACCAGCTTGTGTTTCTTTAATGGAGCCACATCATAATGAGGCTGAAGGTGTTTCTCACAGTAAGAAACCAAACACATCAAACAAGATTTCACAGCTTTTAACTTCATCTCAATGCAGAAATCACAGGCCACATCTTCAGGTCCAGCATAGCAGTGATCAGCAGGAGCAGCTTGGAGTCCAGTCTTCTTCAGCTGCTCCACTAAATCTGCTAACATGGTGTTTTTCACCAGGACAGGTCTCGGTGTGAAAGTCTGTCTGCACTGAGGGCAGCTGTAGATTTTCTTCTCCTCCTCTCCATCCCAAAAGCCATTAATACACTTCATGCAGTAGTTGTGTCCACAGGGAATAGTCACCGGATCCTTCAGAAGATCCAAACAAATTGAACAAGAGAAAGTTTCTTGGTCCAGCTGAACTCCTTTCTGCGCCATTTCTCCTCTCAGTATCAGTGACTGTGTGAGTTTCACTTCCTCATAACTGAAATTAGTCTGAGCTCTGATCTAAACAACCAGAATTTCTTTTACAGTGATTCATTCCTCTCACGTCTTCTGCGTCACTGCACGTTGGTTACACCCATGTTCAAAGTGCAGACCTGAAGGGGAGGGAAGAAGGAAATATATGACAGTAGGTGCTGAGTCAGAGAGCAGGAAGAGGAGGGAGGGTCATCAGGCTATGATTAATTCTAGGGAGGAGGAAAAATGTGGGATTAGTACTTCTTATAACAGAGCTCGTTTCTCATTTTTAACTTTTTCAAGTGTGTTTTAAAACCTCTTTTAAATAATCTAAGTCTGCTAAATTAATTCATCTTTTTATTAATTTCAGTGATTCAAATACTGCATATAAAGAGATAAAATACTGAATAACTGAGCTGAGAGAAAATACAGATCACATATTTTTTATATTTTTAGTTACAAAAGAGAAAATTCTAATTGCTCCTAAAAGAAAACTGAACAACAATAACAGAGATTTATAAAGTCTTTTCCTTTGTCCCCTGTTTGTTGTTCAAGTTCCTTGTGACAGTTAGTTCTTATATTAATAAATGTGTGAGAATATAGAGCATATAATTCTGGAATATAATATAATTTAATAGCAGCAGCTGTACTGTCTTGTGACAATTACACCCAGCTGTATTAGGAATTAAGTTAAAGGACTGTTCTGCTTTTTAGTTTAACTGTTGCTAGTTTTGCCATATTTGTGCCTTACTATTAGCAAATTTGCGAGCCATATGCTATGAGGCGAATTTATTGTGTACACTGACCCCTTGTGGACATTGTGAAACATTGTTTCTGCTTTCAGAGAACCCCACTTTGTGGGACTTTCAATGTCAACCACACTGACTAAACTAGTACAGAGGGGATCAGTGCAAAAGTCTACAGTCACTGCAGACAATTAAGTGCTCTGATTTTCACAGAATCGACAGTCTGTTCATAACTCTGTTATTTAGTACCACTGAGGTTACTGTACATATTGTAAATAGTTTTCTGTAATTGTTTACAGTTTATTTCTTAAAACATATCTGACTATCAAGCTGAGACTAATTATATCCACTGACATGATCTCAGAGAAAGAATGTGTCTCTAAATGTCACTTAAAGGGATATAATTTGTGGAACTGTGAATATTTTTTTTGTTTCAATGACATATAATTGTAATTGAAGTAAATATTAGTATTCTCCATTCATCACTTATAAGTAAAACACTGATGCTTATATGTTTTAACAATAAATGGGGGCACCAAAATGGAGTTCGATTATATATGATATTATTTATGATATATAAAGCGCCTTGAGGCGACTTTTGTTGTGATTTGGCTCTATATAAATAAAATAGAAGTGAATTGAATTGAATTGATTGGTTTCAGTTAAGGATATTTGCAAGAATTAACTTCTTTTTGCTATCCCCCCAATACTGCTAAAGACCTTCAGAATGACACAAATGATAAGTGTCAGTAAATGTAATTTAGAAAAAGACAAAGCATTCTGTCACATATTTGATTGATTGTGGTTGATGATTCTGTTGCGTTATACATAATATTTTTTGACTAAACAGACTCAAACACCATTACAGATCTCTTGTCAGTGAGACAAGAGATCTAAACCAGAGCAGTGACATAAAGACAAGAAAAATCAAGAAAAATGCCTGTTGGTAAAGAGTTTGTGTACCTTGTGCCTTTAGAAAAGCTTCAGTGTTTCAAGTTATTAATTCTGCCAGTGTCTTAAAATCTAAACAAGAAATTAATACTATTTTTTAATGTTCAGCTGGGTTGAGCTCTGGTGACTGTTATAGCCATCATTCTTAGACTCATCAAATATTCAGTGACCTCACTTCAGTCCAGGCTGTCAAGATCAATATCGAGCAAGATCGAGGAACTTCTCTTGATGAAAATGTTTAGTTGATGTCAGAGGTCAAAGGAGAATGGCCAGACTACTTTGAACAGTTATAAAGGCAACAATAACCACTCACTACAAATGAAGGTATGCAGGACAGCATCTCTAAACACAAGATGTTTATGCTTGAAGCTGATGAGCTACAACTCACTTGAGCTCACCAAAATTGGACAACAAAAGATTAGAAAACCATTGCCTGGCCTGATGATTTTTAATTTTTGCTTTAGCATTTAAATGGTAGGATCAGAGTTTTCCCTAAACAACATGAGAGCATGGATCCATCCTGCCTTGTGCCAATGGCTTAGGTTCATGGTGGTGTCATGCTGTAGGGGGAGTTAAAAACCCCCGCTTTGGATTAGTACTGTTAAATACCCCAATTCTTTGATCTTCGGGCTGAAGGAAGAACAACACTCTGTGTTTAATGCTCAATCAACAATCTCTTTAATTAATACAGTTCTCTTTATACCATACAACACTTTGAGCAATACAAACACTGGGACTGGAGAGGTGCACGGGAGGGTGTCCGGCAGATCTCGAAGTGTCTGACAGTTTCACACATTCTTATAACTTCTCCCCCCCTCCAAAGTCATAAAAAACACTTTCACATTCACATTATTATATGTGTGAGATGAGGGAGAATATCCTGTGCAGTATGTTCTGTTCTCTTTGTAATCAGAAAAGCAAAGCCATGATTCCATGCAAACAGTATTTCTTTATAAATCAGCAATATAAGGTATCATAAAACAGTGTAATTCATTTGCAATAATAAATCAGCAGTATAGTGTAATACAAATCAGTGTATTAATTTCACAATTTCTAAATCAGAAGTATAATGCAACCTAAAACAGGGTAATGATTCTACAACACAGATATCAACAACCTTTGTCTCTCAAAACTAGGTGCCTGCTAATTCCTCTTTATCTCCTGCCTCCCTATCTCGTGTCCTTGCTGCCCACTTCTTCGCACACTATGCTCTCCTTGCTTTGGCTTACCAACACCTTATCGCACTAACGGCAGCTTAATGTCGCTTTTGCTTCCCACATACACCTCTGACCTATTCTCCCAACTCTGTGGGTGTGCTCTATCTGTGGATGTTTAGCAGCTTAACCTATGACCTACTTAAATGAATAATGGATAAAATGTTTTACTATTGTTAATACAACGAAATTCCTAATACTACGATAATCTATGCTTTCAGTACCAATTGTCATTGGTTTAAATCTGCACGCTAGTGTTTGTGTCTGATTTTATGTAGGTGGTGATATTTCTTTTGATCACTCATAATGATATTTGATGGTAATGACACCAGGAAATCTCCCCAATATAACATGAAGGATTTAAAATAACATTCTATGAATTGACAACAGCATAATCGATATTGTGCTACAACGGTTCCAGTTCCGGGTTGCTGCTCGTGCGGTCGACCGGCCAGTCAGCTGAGCAGTTTTGCGTTCTTTTTCTAACTTTAATGCTCTTTTCATTGTTGTATTTTGCCATTATTAAATTCAGTTCTTTGTATTCTTTTAACGGCAAAGAAAGATACGGCTCAAAGTGGTCAAAGCTCAAAAAATGATCTTTATTTTACATTTCCGGAAATGGAGGCCTGAACACACGAAGACACAAGCTCAGGTCTGAAAGCTTTAGAAGCCAGCATGGTTACATATATATTTCCGCTGCACGTCACACACTAAGTTTCGATCAAAACACTCTGCTTAGTTTCACTTTCTGTCTGCACCTCCTGTGCTCTGCAAAAGCATGCAGTTTCCTGTAAGTACTCTTGGCTCAGACTCTACTCAGAGACGGCCCTTTTAGACTATATTAAAAACAAGTAACAATAAGCACTAAATAAGCACTAACAATATATTTATTTTATGACACGGTCTACTCTGTATATTTGTATTTGTTTCCTTTTCCTCATTTTTGTGATTTTTCGGACTTGTTTTCAACCCTTGACATGACCCCAAGGCTCACCTACACCAGGGACTCCCTCATCCAGCTGCGGACGCAGATGCAGCCCGGCCTCCGGCTTTTCCGCTCCGCTTCCATGAACTGCTTTCCCGAGGAAATACTCCGTGGACACGGAAATCGAAAAACTCACAATAACAAGGTAACCAGGAGGGGAATAAAGAAGAGTGGGGTGAGAGCTAGACTAAAGAGGGAGACACACAAACAACAAGTGCTCCCGTCCCTTATCCTTGCTAATGTGCGGTCTCTCTGCTCCAAGCAGGAAGAGCTGCAAGCCTGCGTCAACCACCTGCATGAGTACAGAACTGCCTCCATTCTGGCATTCACGGAATCGTGGTTAAACAACAACGATGAAGACAGCGCGCTGCACATTGATGGTTTTTCACCACCTCTTCATCTGGACAGAGACCGCGAATGCACCGGGAAGCAACATGGTGGCGGCGTGTGTCTGTATGTAAACAACAGCTGGTGCTCTACAGTCACTGTGAGGGAGAAGCTGTACAGTACAGACATCGAGCTTCTGGCTGTTTCCCTGCGCCCCTACTACATCCCCAGAGAATTCCCACAGCTTTTCATCATCTTGGTTCACATCCACCCCAGAGCTGATGCAGCTAAAGCCACAGAGTACATCACCAACACTCTGTACAAACTGAAACAATTATCACCTTACTCTCCCAAGTTCATCCTGGGTGATTTCAACCACTGTTCCCCTGACAAGTTGCTTAAAGGATACCAACAGTATGTTTCATGCAGCACACGTCAGGGAAAGACTGGATAAATGCTATGGCTCTGTACCAGATGCGTTTAAAGCCCTACCCGACCCCCTCTCAGCTCAGCAGACCACCACACCATCCTGCTGGCCCCTGCTTACACCCCAGTCATCAAGAGGATTAGAAAGGTCACCAAAAACATCAAGCAGTGGACAGAAGAAAGTATCCTCACCCTACAAGGATGTTTTGAAGCCACTGACTGGGACAGCCTTCTTTCTCCCTCTGATGACATTGACGAACAAGTCAACACGGTGACATCATACATCTCCTTCTGTGTTGACAACATTATTCCCTCAAAAAAAGTCTCCATGTACCCCAACAACAAACCTTGGATCACCAAGGAACTCAAGGAAATCCTTAATAAAAA